CCCGCCATCTCTGCTCACGTCGCGATGCGTGGCAGACTCGCTTCCAAGGAAGCAAATTCCTCTAATTCCTCTCTGCGTTAGGAAGGCGACCGCGTGGGATGATGGATGGCTGCGTATCATCGCGGTTTCCTCCCACATCTGTTGCCGAGCCGAAGTTGCATTCAGCCCCGTAGGAAAGTATATGACATTTGGGGGGCAATGGGTTATAGACGTGCTTAGAGAGTGTGCGCGGCGCGTAGCGCCCTGATTGGGGGATCGTCTGGAAGGGCGGTATAGAATTTTTTTAAATTTTCAATATTGAAATGATGCTTTCTCGTGCATTCTGGCATTGCAAATGTTGCATTATATAGTTACATTTTTCAGGCCTGCTGCCTATGGACGCCTAGCTTCTGCTGTTGTACACCCCTATAACGCAATCAAACATAAAACTAATGACGTCATGCAAGTGCACGCTTTTGCTGTGCTGAATCAGTGTGCACTTGTCCAAAACAAATCAATGTATTAATGTTGAAAACTGTTTTTAGTTATTTTTGGACAATTGATAGTGGCTGTATATTAAAGGGACAGTAGCCTCTAGGATTTTAGTGCATACAGCTGTACTTACTGTATAACAAATCGTCTATAGGCCTACCCACACGTATTTGTTACCAGATACCTAATTTAATTGTTATAATTAATTACACATCAACGCTACAAAATTTGAACGGCGCCATGACACCCGCGACCTGGCTGCCACCCCCAAAAAGTTGCGTATTTGACCATTTATTTTGCACGTTATAGACCAAGGGCTAATCACAAAAGTGCAATTATATTTATACCTAAATGCTATTTGACCGAACGATATTCATTTTAGGGCAAATTTATCCATATTATAACTGAAACTATATGCAGGGATGAGATTGGTTAATTAAATTTTCAGCTGAAATTTAAATTAGCAAACAGAGGAGCGAGCAATGCGAGGACCGTAGGTCATCGCCACGCTAGGGGGGTCCGGGGGCATGCTCCCCCGTAATTTTTTTAAAAGAATGGTGCAATTTGGTGCATTCTAAGCTATTCTGAACACATTATAGGAGACTCTTGAATCACCTTTTCAAGTTGTCAAAAGGAACAAACGAACTATGAATAGGAAATCAGGGGGCTGAAAATAGGGTAAGTTTTTTTATTAAATGTCTAGACAATGATATTTTTCTGTTTCCACCCGTCGCTTGCATTGTTTTACTCAGACATAAGCTGCCTTGCTGCGACGAGAATTGAATGAAAAAAACACAATGCGAATGGAACAATCAGTGCATAGTCATGCACACAGGCACACAGCAACATGTAAACCCGGCCCCCAGGCCAGGCATGGTCGTTACGTGATCAGCTACCTCAAATGTCTGCCCCTCTACTGCAGCCTGTGAATTAACGAGAATTTTCTTTTCTGGTATGCAAAAACAGATACACTGTATACTTCGCTGTCAGTCTACTGTCTACACTCTACAGTCTACAGTCAGGTGCTGTTGAGGGTATATAATTTAAATTGTTACATTGTTACCCCCCTCCCAATTTTCTCAACGAATTTAGACGTTTCACAAAAACGACCCCTGGGACTGTCAAATCCTCGGAAATTCGCGGAAGAATCTCATCCCTGTATATATGATACTAGTAAAATGGGCCAAAAGTAAAAAAAGCCAGTCTGCAGTTAGATAGAAATTTAGGATTTCTCCTGAGTGTGACCATACAGCTGTCTGAATTTTCCAGGTGGGAGGGGGGCGTGCCCCCGGACCACCCCAGCAACGCGTGCGCGTGCCTTCACTCAAATATCACGCCTCCTCCTGAAAGCTAGAGCCGCCCCTGCTAAGGTATAGCCAAATGTTTTCTATTAGTTAAGCAACCTTGCACAATAAATACCCTAAATCTTATAACTTAGTACAATTAAATTTCCCTAAGCACATGAAATGGTCTGCCATTGTAACCCTCAAAGAGCCAAGCAGCCAAATTTCGTTACGAATTTTTTTTGTCATGTGCAGGTAAATACATTATCTAGGGCTGTAATTGGCTGTTTATGGGGCGTCACCGCAACAATGTCACTGGTATTTAGGAACGATTCTAAATAGTTTTGTTATTACGGTTTTTGGTCGGGATGTTATTGCGTACATTCTTTTCACTACCAATTAACTTGTAAAATAACTTGGTAATAACTAGCAGTATCAGTGGCATCAGATTAGGATCACCCTAATTACTATTATAATAAATTGAATGCTCAGAACAGTATATGTGACCCGCTCCAGCATAATACGGACCAAGTCGCAAGTCATTGTTTTGAGTAATGAGCACGCACACATGTCAATGCTGAAAATGGCCTACCTGGACAAAAATGAGATTTTTACAAAAATAAGTTCCTAAGTGCATATTTAATCCGGATATATAGGTTCAGATATCTCTAGATTATTATGGTCATTTTTAATTCAAAAACCAAAAACAAAAACAACATTTTTAAGGGCCCCTGACCGCTCATCCCCGACTGGGCCCCTTACCCGGAACGCTTTATCTCAAAAGCTGCATATTTCGGACTAAGTCAGTTTCCGATCTTCAAATTGCTGTAGATCGGTCAATTCTTTAGATATGGCCAAATATTATATATAATTTTAAAGGTAATTAAATCATCTATTCAGATCGATATCATAACCCCCCCACGTTCCGAATATCGTGACCGTACGTCGAGCGGTTAAGATTTGTGCCCAACTGTTGACGGACGGACGCTCGGACGGACGGACGCACGGACGGACGATCAAGCGATTCTACAAGCTGCATCTGACTATGTCAGATGAGCTAACAAACGAACGTCCGAACGCGAGCGCGGAATCTCGCGAGATACGTATAATACGACGGTATTTGAGGTATATACGGTCATATTATTTGAGATTATACGCCGGTATCTGGCGTATATCGGGGCCGTTACCGCCTAACCCTTGCCCGTGGATTGCCAGATTGAATCAAGGCAGTACGAAAGCAGATTAACACCGCCAGCGCACGTCTTTTCTTTACCGCGTATTCCCCCACCCACACACACACACACCCACCCCACCCACCACGTCCTCCTCGCAGATAGAAGCAATGCATTACGAATGCATATACGAACACCCGCCACCGCACGTTTTTTCTTCCCTGTGTATTCCCTCTCTCCACACACACCCTCCTCCACCCACCACCGCCTCCTCACCGCTTCCATTTGCTCAAGTCACGTTACGTTCGTGCGGCGGTCGTGCAACTAATAAACACACTCCGTGACGTTATCACATTAATAGCTCACGTCATCGCTTTAATAGCATACGTCATCGAGACGGAATCGGGGCGCGCGCCAGAAACGAAGCTAATTAGTGCTGCACCGCGCCGCACTACCGCAGTGTGCGGATTCTGAAACTCCCCCCCCCCTCTTTCGCGTGGGCAGGAAACGCGAGCTCGCTTGCTCGCTAGCTTACGCAGATAGGGTCTATGTCACCCTGGGTACTGCCGGACACTGCGGCTGCTGTTGTCACTAACAACAATCAATAATATCAACAATCAACAAACAATAATGTCAGCAACAATAACAGCAGTTAGCAGGGGCGCAAATCCAGGGGGGGACAGGGGGACATGTCCCCCCCCCGAATTTTCAGAGGGGAGACATCATATCAAATGTCCCCCCCACGATTTTGGATCACCATGATTTTGTGTGTAAGTGTGTGTGTGTGTGTGTGTGTGTGTGCGCAAAACCACTTTCCAGCCAAGAGACTAGCAGACCGA